ATGCACAGTGCTGACTGCTTTACATATGTGAATTCATTACATCATCACTACAGTCCTACGAAATGGTCATTTTCCCCTCTTGTTTGCAGATGAAGAACATGAGGCTCAGAAAGGTTAAGTGCTTTGCTCAAAGCTAGGAAGTGGAGGAAGTGAGATTTGCTCCTTTAAAGTCTGTCTGATGCTAAAGCTTGGGTCCCTAACCTCTGCTGGCACCCTTAGCCAGAATTTTGCTGGGAGATTAATGTCAATTCTACAGAGCTACTTTAAAAGGGGGTATATTTACTCATCGCTAATGTCCCCATGCTTTCTCACAGGTTTCTGACAGTGGCTCTACACTAGAACCCCAATCTACTTCAGTGTCTAGGATTTGTTCAGTATAGGTACCTGCACTCATCTGAAAACGGTTGCATGCCCTCTTCCTTTATAATGTTTGCTATAGCCCCCCAGTATCAATTCCAAGTTCTTTGCAGAAGATTATTATCTTTAATGATTCATTCTCCGTAGGAGCCATGTTTGCTCTTCCTTCAGTACTTACTCCAAAGCCCTGTTGATTTTTGCCACTGCACTCACATTCAGACCTGCTCTTTCTTTTCTGCTTCTGCAGCCCCTATCAAGTCAAGATGCTTCTACATCACCCCTAACTTACTGCAACAGTCTCTTGAACATCTTCCTTTAAGACCCCATCCAGTTCTCCTGCTAAAGCATTTGGGCTGCTTCTATTTAGGAACTTACTGCATCTGTATGTCTCCTCAAGGATAGGTTCCAGATCCCTTCACTGTTCTTGAACTATAGCCATTTTCTCATTTTTTCCAAGATCAGACCTAGACTAGCAAATAAATAAGTCTCTGACATAGGGTTTACTGATTTCTGTCTCTAAATTACACCTGTACCACTCTTTCACATGACATTTCCTCTCCACTCCTTTCTGACAAAACTTATCCTTTCCCTATAAATCCCTAATATGAAGGTTATGTCCATGATTAGAGGCCTATTTCCTCTCTCAGCTCTAATGTTAACTAGTTTGGAATCATGGATAAGACTTTTAAATTTCTATCTCCTTAGGCAATTAACCAGCAATGCTTACATAGATATGCTCCCCCAAAGACTGGCTGTCCCGGGCTTCACAGTGCCCTCATTAATTAAGGCTTCCCTTTGGCTTGGTGCCCAGGTGGTTCTACATCTTGAAGCAAGGCACCAAAGTGAGATTTTAGGTGAACAAGGACCTTGGCTTCCTTTCATAAAATGGAAAAATGAGTCAGTTCTCTGGCATCTCAAATTTAATAAAATGATCAAGTTTAATAATCATAATATAGAAGTTAAGGATCTGAAAATAGATTCTCTTCAAATATTCATACTGAAGTACCTCCTGAAAAAATCTTCCCATTCCTCTAGAAATACAAATACTCCATTTTGAAGATTACTGGGATTTGAGGGTACTTGACATATTTTTGAATGGTAACTGTCCATATATTTTTCATTTCAGCTTCTATCTGGGTATCCCGTCAACTGCAGATCCTGGAGCCAGTCAATCAACATCCAGATCCTAGTGTGTCCTCTCAGTTACTACCTGTGTGACCTTGGGCATGTTTCTCATCCACTCCTTGACTTAATGGAAACAATAATAGTACTTCTTTCACACAGTTGTGAAGAGTAAAAGAGTTAGTTCAAATAAAGCACTTAGAACAGTATCTGGTGTGTACAATAAGTGTTTAATAAATGTTAACTCCTACTATCACTATAACTAGACAGATGCCCTAGCAAGAGTTTGAGAAGTCAGTCTCATTTATATGGTTGAGGAGGTATCTGCACACAGGTGGTAAACCGTGTGTAATGATGTTTCTAAGGAAATTCTTGCATTCAATAAATGCCTATTGATCAGCCACTAGCCCTGTGTTAGCTGTTGAAGAATAGATAAATCAAGCCCTTGCCCTCCAGGAGCTAACAGCTTGGAAGGGAATGTTAAATCAACATGTACTATCTTGCAGTTAAGGCAGGGAATGATTGGTAGACCATACTTGCTACAGGAAGTCAGAAAGCAGGAAAGCAGTAGGGCTGAGGCTTGAGGAACTGACTGAATTCTCAAAGAGGATTGATTTGGATAAGTGTGGAGGGTGCTGAGCATTTTACCCATAGCCAGAGCATCAGGAAGAGAAGAAGAATTAGTATAGGAGACTAGATTGGTAAAAGAGAGGAAAGGAGCTCAGTCAGCCAACACTGAATCTTAACGAGAAAGGGAACGCGGTCCCAAGCCAATGAGGGCAAACCCTGTGCTCATGTCCAGAATTATCAGCTGCACAGGTTCAGGAGTAGGTAGCACTAAACTCATACTAGTTCATGTAAAAAATCCAAGAGGGCAATTAGGGACAAACTGATTGATTGTAAACTTGAAATTCCTAACCCAGCCTTGAAAGCTATGACAAAATCAGGGAGGTCATTGTTCAATATGACACTTTTTTGTTGCCTTTAAAGTGATTTTGAAAAGACTATTTGGTGGTTGATGTGGACTCTAAATTTTAACATGGAATGTTTTAAAATACATATTCTTAGAATCTAGTTCTTAAGCTTTTAAGTTAAACTTATAAAACCTATCAATCAATTTTAGTAAATGTAACAATCATTTTTAAAGGAGCTTTGAATGGCATTTGGCCCTAATTATAAATTTAAAGAACTTAAAACACTTAAATTGTATTTATAAATTTGACATAGTCTATTATGACTCTTTAAAATTTAATGTCTCAGTAGAAGACAAAACTTCCAACTACTCAAGTAATTATTACAAAAAACAATAAATTGTATTTATAAATATGATTCAAGTTCTCTTAAATGTTCTAATAGTATATAAAAATAAGATTTTCACTTAAAGCCATAAGTCTAAGTCACTTCTCAATTAAACATTTTACTTTGGAGTAATAAGGTTGTCCCTCAAAAAAATTTCTGATTATTTCAAATATAGTTGGCCCTTAAACAACATAAATTTGAACTTTATGGGTCTACTTATACATGGATTTTTTCAATGAATTTGTTGGAAAAGTTTCTGGATATTTGAATAAAAACATTTCTTTTTCTCTAGTTGATTGTAAGAATATAGTCTATAACACATATAACTATAATACAGTCTATAATACATATAAATGTGTGTTAATCAACTGTTTATGTAATTGGTAAGGCTTCCAGTCAACAGTATGATAATAGTAAAGATTTGGGGGAGTCAAAAGTTATATGCAGTTTTTCAGCTGCACTGGGGATTAGGACCCTAACCCTAACCTTTGTTCAAAGGTCAGCTGTCGATAAAATACTAAATATGTGTCAATTCCTTGATATAAAAATATTAGTATCTTGGGTTTGATTTTCTTAAAACATGTTACACAATTCTAAATCATTCCAAGGTTACAAAGGGTTTAACCCTTAACTATTTTATTATACTGCATAGTTTTGGGGTTTCACTTTCTAGTTTAGATGAGGAATAGCATTCTCTGTATGAGATTTTAAAATGATCAGAGATTTCGGTAGGGGGCTGACTGCATTTTCTTCTTTGATAAACTTGATGGAATGCTTTGAACCCAATTAAGTTTTTACGGAAATGACTCCATAACTTCAAAGTGTTTATGGAGGAGAAAAAGGGGCAGAAAGGAGGAGAAGTAGCCCATTTTCCTGGACTCAAGTTTTACATATTACCTAGTTTTTATTCTTCTCACATGTGTCTGCAATTCCTATCCAAATTGACTATTTGGCTGGATTTTCCATTTCTTTGAATCTTAAGGGAAGTGTTTGTTTCTTCTAACTCTAAAAGCCCTTGTGCTTAATGGAATAATCCAGTTTTTTTCTTGTATTTGTGATTACTTCAGGATCACACAATTAGTAATAACATATACAATTCAATTCTGGATATCTTTTCTGGTTTTGCCTTACTTTTCCTTCCAACGTGCAAGGCCATGTTGACAGTCCAGGTCCCAAATATTTGGTGTTTGGTAGACCATGTCTGGTGTCTTCTCTCCAGTGCTGCTCCAGGTGATTTAAAAGAGCATAACAATACAATGAATGCCTTCCAAGGCCTGCCGTCTGTACTACAATGGGGACTGGAAACCAACATTCATGCAGAACTGTAGAAGGGAGGGTTTAGGGAGTAAAAGACTATCACACAGAAGAAGAAGTAGACTTGTTTTTTCATTTGATTCCTGGCACCACTAGATAGAAGTAACAGAGTAGCAACCTTAGTTTATCATAAGAAAGAACTTTCTAACAATCAGATTTTTCACAAGGGAATAGATTACCCTGGGAGATAGCCCCTGGTCACTGAAAGTGTCCAAGTGAACTGGATACCCATCTCTCAAGGGTGTATGAAAAGAGATTCTAACAATAGTCATGAGGTTGACTTAAATGATTTATAAACTCTCTTCCACCTTTAAGAATATCTTATTACGGAAAACAGAGTTCACAAAGCTAGGTGACTCACAAAAAGCATCTAAATGTCAAAAACTTAATGGTGTCATTTTATTGCCCCACTTATTGCAGCATAGGCATGTCAAACCTCCTGATGCTGAAAGCCTTCCTTTTTCCTGGGATAGAAAACCTTTTGAGTTTTACAGAGAGGTTAGAAATGAGATGGATCAGGGAAGTAGTGAAGGGAGGGGGGAGAGAAAGAGTTGCAGCAACGGCTGGAAAAAATTAGAGCCACAGTAGAAATCAAAAGCAACAGATACCCTGAAAGGAGAGAGAAAACAGTACCACTCTGCAGTATGGGAGGGGAGATTGGTGGTAAAAGCTTTATCTCAAAACAGAGCCCTTGAAGATATAGGTACACACATATATGTGTACATTTGTGTGTTTGAGAGTGCATATGTGTGTGAAACAGGCAATGAAAATTTGATGTAAGGTAAGTTAACTAATTACTATTTATCAGGGATGGGATAAATAAGTCATTCAAGCATTTTGTTATTAATCATTATATTTTCATAATAATATTAGCTAACATTTATTCAATGATTGCTCAGTGACAGGGTCTATACCAGATATCTTCCAGTTCCTTCCTCTTCCATACCAGCTGCAGGTTCAGCATGATACAGTGATCAGAGAAGACAGTACAATCTAATATACATTATAGAAAGATGTCCATTGACCACTCTTAGGTAAAAGAATTAAACTTTCAGTTTCTCTGGTTAGATACCTGGCTTTGAAACTCAGCTCTACCATTTTTCCAGGCATGGAAAACATCTTCAACCCTCACTTTTCCTAGATGTAAAATGTAGATAAATAATATATCCACTATTTCATGTGTTAGAAACACCACAGCATACCCCAAATGGAGTCACTTATGCTAAGTCCCTAATCTAAGACTTAACCTAATTACAGCTTCAGCTCTCCCAGAAATTGAGTCTTAAACGAGTCAGTCAGGAACCACCTGATCAGCACTACTTAGGTAGTCTGCCTAACAGACTCTGCCAGTCCCTAAAGGAAAGTATTAACCCATCTGCTTTTTTGCCAGTGTAACTTCCTTGTTCCTGCTCCCTCATGCCTATAAAGGTCTTTCATTTTGCGCACCTCCTAGAGCTCCTTTCTATCTGCTAGATTGGATGCTGCTCAATTTGAATTTATTTTTGCTCAAACTCTTTAATTTTTTTAATGTGTCTCAGTTTATCATCCAGCAGGAAGAGTTGTGAAAATTGAGGAAATGCATGTAAAATTATTTCTATATTAGAAATCGCTTCTTGAGCACACAGTAAGTGCTCAATAAATGGAAGCTACTCTACCCTCACAGGAGTGGGCTGACTATGTCTGTAAAGGGCCAGATAGCAAATATTTAGGCTTCGTGGACCATACGATCTCTGTCACAACTATTCAACTGTTCAGTTACTTTACTGATGCATGCTGAAATTTGAATGCCATTAAACTTTCATGTATCATACAATAGATCTTCTTTTATTTTTTCACTTATTTAAAAATACAAAATCCAGTCTTAGCTTATAATCTATGGACCATAATTGGAGGACACCATATCAGTATTCAGAAAACCTTTGCTTCCATTCTACACTAGACATGAACGAGGGTGCTCAGGCCTTTGACCATGTCAGCAGAATCCTCTTCCCTTTCAAATATCTCATTATTTCTTCTCAGCTACAAAATGGAAAAACCTTTGCTAAGTGTTGTGAGGGAAACAGACTATCCTTTGGTACTTCCAACTATGGGAGAGAGGCAAAGAGTAGCTCAAAGAAAGCTGATGGCTACTGCCTCCTTATTCGCCCAACATACCCATCAAAACCTGTCTGCCGCCTTCCTATGGCATCTTCACACTCAATTTCTTTCTTGCTAGTGCCACAGACTCCATCCACTAGGTCCCATGGCAACTGCTTGAAGCTGACCTTTCAAACTACTTGGGCTCCATTAAAGTTTTTTAAAAATGTGCACAGATCAATACAGAGAAACACACAGCCTGACTAAGCCCCCTTTGTGGGCTTTCATTACTACTTTTTTATCGAACTATGTTAATGTATGACCTTTCAAATAAATTAACATCTCTCTCCTAATGCAAATTGAAAAGTGGACATCGGCAAGGCATTTTACAATGCATGTAGATGTGCATACAACTTTCCTGGAGAGCAACTTGGCAAAATCTATCAAGATATTTAATGTTGCCAATCATTTGACTAGGTAATTGACCTTCTAGGAATGTGCCCTAAGGAATAATCATACACAAAAATTTATGAGCAAGATGTTCATCACAGCCTGTGTCCCTCCAACTAAATTCTTGAGAGCGACTAATTAATTGCCGTAGTTGGATTTATGGTTTTTGGCCCTATGTGTCAGGTGCCTAGCTCTGGTCCTATCAGCTATGACTAAAAGCATTGAGAGGTGAGCAGGGTCATGTGGTAATGAAGGTTGTCCCTTCCAGGGACTGTAGATGGGGAGACTGTACTTTTCATATGATATTTAATGACATGGAAAAACAGCCATGATACAATGGTAAGTGAAAAGATCAGAATATAAACTGTATATACAATAGATCTTTTTAAAATATAAAATTATTCAGAAGAAATGGATACTTATAAAAATGAATTGTTCCATAACTAAATTACATATGAACATATAATCAAAAAAGTGGTACTAACATAAAGTTTTTGACATATGCTTATGAGTAGAAGTTACACGGTATAACTGAATATTGTGATTTGTTAAATTATTTTTTAATCACCTGTAGATAGATATATATAACACAAGCACACATGCTCTTCCATACTTGCACACACATACATACAGAAAGAACACTGAGAGAATGTACACCGGCATGCAAATGGTTATCTCTGGGTGGTAAGAGGACCATTATGGCTTGTTTCCTTCTTCATATCTTTCTGCATTTTGTAGATTTTCTGCAATAAACACATATTTATTTTATAATAATAAGCAGTAAACAACATTTTCTTTTAAGATTCAAAAAGAACTATTGAAGGGTAGCAGAATATGCACCGCCAAAATATGACTGTAGTAGTTCAGGACACGCCACTTCAAAATATGCTGCGTTGGCATAATGATTACTTTGACATGTAGGTATTTGAAATACAGCAAATGCAGGGAGAGACTCTCTCTGAAGTCTCCTTACATGCCTAAAGACAGAGGCTCCAAAGGAACTCAATTGTCATAGATTCCTTCCCCCAGAGTTTCACTGACCAGGGAAGATTGACTTGTCACAGTAAAGGAGACCAGAAGTGGACACCACACCCAGACAGACTTTGTCACAATCTATCAGACCTTCCATCTGCTCTTCTAAGGTCCCCTTCATCTTTCCTAAAAATCACTTACTCTCCCCTAAAAGGTCTATATCCTGCCTCCCTTTTCTCTTTTAAGATGGTATTTAAGCCTGAATTCTAAGCCACATTAGGGACTTACTCATTTTTCTCTGAGTATGTTCCATGTATACATGAGGTATACATGTTAATAAACTTGTTTGTTTTTCTAATGTTACTTTGTCTTTTATTACAGGGTCCTCAGCTAAGAACTCAGAAGGGTAGAGAGAAAATTATTTTTCCTCTCCTATAGTATTTTTTTACAAAAATATAATGGCCACACCAGGCCCCATTCCTGAGCCACACACCTGCTACCCCATCCTTCCTCTGTTCTAATAATGTGGGAGGTGGAACCTCGCTGTTGGAGGAAGATGCAAAACGTGTTGATCAGCGTAGAAAGAGCTCTGTGCTGACATCCTGCAGTTGTTTCTCCATATCCACCCTCTTTTCCACTCTACACTGCTCTGTGCCCTGTAATCTGCACAGATCTGCATTCACCAGGCTCCTTTGCCCTCCAGTACCAGTTTGCTTTGGCCAACCCCAAGGGTGTGTATCCGCAGGGAAACTGAGGGCAGCAGGGCCTGTCAAAAGACATGGCACCCCAGCTCCTGGCAGGCAGCCCTCTCCCGTGTGTCTCTCTCCTTAAGGCCTGGTACTGGATTTGTCCCCTTGTCCCTTCAGGCCTGGTAGTGATAAAGGCTCCCCACTCTTACTGTTCCAGAGTCCTACACCCTTCCTTGTCACATTCCCTAAAAAGCTCAAACCAACCATTGAACTCTCTGTGATTACCCAACTTGAGCCCTGTTTTCTGCTGAGTGGCTGACTGATGAATACTCACAATGCTCTGCACACCCGGGCCCCACAGTCCTCACCACCCACTTACATTCATCCTGTTGGCTCTCCAGCATCCTCCCACAGTGAGGGCCCCACACTCACAGCTGACCGCCCGGGGTCCTCAGGCCTTGTAGGCTCACTCTCCCCTCAGACCCCTCTCCCTGAGGTCAGGAGCTTGGTGGATGGAGCCTCTCAGGGATTCATGGGAATAATCCTCCTGGGCTGTCTCTGCTCCTTGGTGCTGCCAGTGGAAGCCCACTGCCCAGACTGCTGGGACACACCAGGTAGTCCACCACCACCCCTTCCTCCTTCCATATCATGGCATATCGTCCACTTTTATTTTTAATCATCAAATCCAACCCTTGCCCTTCCCCCCAACAAATGCAAGCTTTGCAAATGGTATTCAGCTAGTAGTGAAATGAAAAAAGGAAAAAAAGGATTATTTATATATTTAGGATATTATTCTTTATTGTATGTATTGAGAATATCTCCTCTGTTAATGACATCTTTTTACATTTGCTTAAGTTTCCCTGAAATCACCCTGGTATACCTCTAACTATATGTAAAATGAATATAAATTTGCCCTCAATTCCTTGTCCTTGAACCAAGCTTGTACCTCAACTCTTTCTTGGGAAAAAGTTCCTTCTCGTCATACTCATGTCAATAGAGATATTCATGTCAAGAGACGCCCAGTAGGCTCACCAAGTCCCAAACATGCCCAGAAAGATATGAATCCTTGTTTCTTGAACAAGGCCCTTAGTTCTCCAAGTTGTGCCACTGCAAACAGGTGAGACAAGCCACTGATGGAGTTAGTGAATGGAGTCAGCTGCTGGAGTGAGAAGGCCGTCCCCCTTCGTGGCTGGGTGGCTAGTAGAGTCACAGCCTGCAGAGAGCGGGAAGCTGGAGGAAAAGACGGGATGCAGTGTCTGTCTTGCACATGCACTGGAAAGCCCCTTCTCTTTCACCCTGCTGGCTCGGTTGTTTTTCTGCCTGCTCATAACCCCGCTCTCTCCTCTGTCCTCATACCCTTTCTTCTCTTCCTATTAGGGTGGTGCTGTTTACAGTCAATGGCAAACCCAGGGCAGCCTGGCCCAAGACATTTTATCATCACATTGACAAATAATCCAAGTGTTCAACTAAAACCTGGATGGGAACTTTTGATCAGGTTTCGACACGCTAGCTGTTTCACAGCCTGAAGGTCTGCCCTGACGTAGACCTTTTCAAAGCATTCCACTTAGGAAAGTACCTGACTGTAAATGTTTTATTTATTTACTCTGTTACACACTAGGAACATCGGATGATATCGCCTCTGAACCATCCTGGTTCACCTTCAGGGTCACCTCACAGTAATCTTAGGTTCTTTTCCTCTAAACTCAAAAAGCCCATCAACTGTCTATGAACCTAAGATATTTTCAAAGCAATATTGAGATTGCCACCTAGGTGGAGAGCATGGTACAGGCACTGAGGATTATGTAGAGTATTAAAAGGGAGATTTTTTAACTAGTTATAATAAAAAAGACATGTGAAGTAAGAAAATTAAATGACAAAACTTAGAAACAGTTCAAGAAGGCCTCAGGACAGGAACTTGTCCCCATTGCTAGGGCTTTCACCCAGTGCCTGGCGTGTGGTGGTGGCTACATGAATGTTAGTTAATTAAAAGCACAAAGAAGCCTCCCAAGGTGCCCCCCCAGCAACCCTTCTGGGTCCCCCCACTTCCCTGGCTATTCCCACCCACTGCAGCCCTTGCCCCATCTGCAGAAATCACTTCTGCTTGCCTGCTTTGGTTTCTTCCTTCCCTACCTGTCTTGGTCTGCTTGGGCTGCTCTAACACCTACCATAGGCTTTAAAAGCAATCATTTATTGGTTATGGTTCTGGGAAGCTAAGAAGTCTAAGTCCAGCAGATTTGGCGTCTGGTGAGAGCCCACTTTCTAGTCCATAAATAACCACGTTTCACTGTGTCCTCACATGGCAGAACAGAGCTCTCTGGGGACCACCTATATGGGTGCTGATCCCATTCATGAGGGCTCCATCCTCATGACCTAATCACCTCCCCAGTAAATGCAGTTACATCCGGGATCAGGTTTCCACATGTGAATTTTGGGGAGACACAAACCTGAGATCTAAAGCACTATCCATGCCACTTGGCATAATCCTCTCAATTTAAACGTTCAGGCTTTCAAAAAAACAAGGACAGGGTGCACTTCAAGCAGCTTCTGAGGGACAGCCCTGCAAACACCCTGGAGGCCAAGAGCGCCGAGGAAAACAGCGGGAACAAGCATTAATTAAAAGCTCCATCAATTGCCCACCACACCAGTCAAGATAAAGCTCCTTCTATCCCGCTGGACTTAGAGCTCACTTGGTGGCAGGACGAGGGGGTGGGGGTGGGGGTAGCGAGCAGATTCTTGGTGGTGGGACAGTGAGATACAACCCAGGGCTGTGATGTGTAAGATACATCCAGTTCTGCAGATTCTCGACCGTGTGTACCACTCAGTTAGCTTTGTCACGTGCAGACTTGCAGCAATTCTGATGTTATTGTCCTGTATCTCCATTTGGCTCTTGAATTCTCATTCCCTTATTACAACTATATATTCTTCCCTGCCAACTACATTCTAGTTCTTATAAGAGCAGGGGTCTGGACATGTAACTTTTGAATATATGACACATAGAACTCTACAGGTGCCAGATAAATCCCAATCAAATTAAATCATGACTTCTTAAAACTTTAGACAAATCACCTCTCTTTCCAAAATAAGACCTTCAATGATTTTCATCTTTCTTCTCTTACAGGTGGTTTGTCCACATCTGAGTAATTTTAATTACTAATCTCCAAATAATCTTCCTCATGTGCAAAAAGAGGCATTTCAGCTACAGAAGAATCATATTACTAGAGAAGCAGATGTTTAATTTTTTATCAAATACATTATATTTAATTTCCAGTATTAGGCTGAGGAGACAGAGCATTTTCTTGGCTATCTAAGGTAAGACAATGGATTCAGGGATCACCCCAAGAACGTGGTTCTCAAAGTGTGGTTCACAAGAACCAGTGTCCCTGAGACCCTCTCAGAGGGTCAGCAAAATAAAAACTGGTTTCATAATAATCCTGACAAATTATTTGCATCTGTTAGTGTGCTGGATTAGCACTGATGGTGCAAAGCAGTGGAGGGGAAGTTCTATGGGTTGTATATACAAAAGCTCCTGAGCTCTAGTGGCCACTGTTCTCTTCACCACCACACACTCATAGTTAAAAAAAAAAAAAAAAACCCAATT